CATAGGTCAAATCCCAAGACAGAAACAGAAAATGGAGGTAAAGCTGGTTCCGCAAGATGAAATTTGAGTGAAAACTCTCCTTTTATTTGCAGTATTGCACCTAAATGGTTATTGATTAGAAGAGTTTAAAAATTTTTTATTCCCCAGAGTGTTTATGAATATAAAAGTAACTTGAATATATATATATACACACACATATATATACATATACGTATATATATGTATATATATACATACATATATATATAATATATATATATACACTGAGTATATATGTGCGTAATATATACTTTTGCTCATATAGGAATAATTCCACCGGCCATGTGGAAACTAAGATGAAATGGGAAGCGTACCGAATGTTCTCTCCAGATAAAGTAAGATGAGTTACAATAGGCAGATTTGAACTGGAAAATCCATTGTCTGCTGACGGCAGATGTCAGGAACGGGCACAGTGGAAATGGTGCTGAGCTCGGCTTGTCTTTGTCCATGCAAAGCTGCAACCTCGACCACACATGCTTGTTTGCAAAATGCCCTTCTTCTGCTGTAGCCGGGGCTGCAGGGAAGAGCATCACTGCCCTGTCCTGCTTTGGGGGACAAGGAACCCAACTGCAGACTCAAGGCCAGACCCAACATCAGGGGTGATGGTCACACACAGGCACGTGCCAGGCTCTGAGCAGAGCTCCCAGTCCGTCTTGGGCTGAAACGTTCCCCAGTGAAGTCTTACCCAGACACTGTGAATAGGGAATAAAATCTGGGAGGGGGAATCGATCCAAAGTCTGAGGAAGAACTTCAGCGCGTACTTGCCACGCTTAGGAGGCCCTCAATGGAGCAGAGCTGAACATAGACATGCAAAACCCGGGAGGTTTTTCCCCATCTGTTCCCTGAGCTATTGGAAATGAGAGCTGCTTGCTCCATCTATGGGTAAAACCTAGTATAGTCCTAACGTTTTCCTGTACAGTGCATATTTTAACCACAGCCTTCTCTACCAAAAAAAACAAGTTATTAGAAAGAATAAGATAGATGACAGCCTTCTCCTTTTTGCCTGATGCATCCTTATGCACAAAACCCTTGCTATGGATTATTTTTGAAGGCCTTCTAATTAACAGTATTGAATTTCAGAAGGGGGAAAATTATTTCCCAAGAGAAAGGAGAAAATTTAAATTTCACATTGAAACATTTCCTTTCTCAAGCTCCATGTAAGCTCACCAGTACGCAAACAGGACTCCTCGCATTAAGGTGTTTGAAAGCTGGTGGGGAATTTCAGTTTTAAAGTTCCGCAGGCAACCTCCAATTCTGAGCTAATTTGTGCTTTGATCCCATCCTCAATATCCCAATTCAAAGCTTTAGTTTAATGGAAAGCTTTTACTAGATTTCCCTCGCTGTTAGAAGACACAGCATCAGCAATGGGTCAAGATTATTGCTATAACTTTAATTGGAAAGTATGATTAGAAAATTCCCTGCTGTCCTTCAAAAAGGCATACTGCTACTCCAAGTACGAAGCTACGTTTTTATGATTTAAATTTCATATAACCACGTGCTCTTAATAAAATATTAATAGTGCTTGATTTTAGTGTATCTACAGGAATAGCTCCCTAATTTCCACTCAGTAAAATAATGTTCACCTCAGTTCCGTGTATATGTGAGAGGTCTCAAAAGTGAGATTTGAAGCAGGATTATGGTTAAAAAGTAACCTGAATTGATCAGATCTTTTTCCCACATTTACCTTAGATCACCTGACTTTGCTTTACCAACATGCATCCCCTTCCCAGCTGCGCACTCCAAGTTGTGCATTAAACCCAGGAAAGCAGCAGTGCTTGGACCCCATGCTGCTGGCGCTGAGAGCTGGCAACGCGGGGGCAACCTGAACAAACCAGAGACAGTCTGGAAAGCAGCTCCTTGGTGCCAGGTTTAAACTGGCTTTTCACAGCACCTCGGGCTTTAACTTGTATCTATCACCTCTTCCTTTGTTATTTCCTTTGTTATTGCAACCCCCGAAATACAACCTCAAGGGAGTTAATATATCCTCTTTAATAGCACCCTGCCAGCTTCGTGTCACAAGTACTATTCTAAAATTAGAAAACACCGATTTACTCATTTTTTCTTCCCCTATCTTCTACCAATAATTGAAATGCAGTTGCTCAGTGCTGCTTGGCTTAGCACTTGCCCACACTTTCGCACATACCAAGATTCACATCTCAGAGAGCCAGATCTCTGTGAGGTGCTTGCAGAAGATGCTCGGCTTTGGCAGATGCAAGGCGGTGGTGGGCAGCGCTGGCTAGGCCTGAGCTTCACATTTGGAGAGTTTCATTTGGCTGTTGGAAGCGGGAATGAAACATGTTTGGAGAGGGTTTGATTGTGTCGGGAGCAGCATTAGCGAATCTTCTGTATCACCAGAAAACTAAGCATAGTTCATCCCAAAATCCATGCTCATTTTTAAACTACTAGCGCTGTCTTAACTCAAGAAACTTAGGGACAAAAAAAGATCAGAAAGCTGGGAATTACATTTAAAAACACTGTTCTGTAGGATTCTGCTCCAAACATCGGAAGGGCTCAGGTGGCACCTGCACCCACCTCATCCCAAAGGGACCCTGCAGAGGACACAGCCTTGGTGCCTTTCCAGAGCTGCAATATTCCACATGGAGACCTAGAGACTTTACCAACGCAAAGCTGTACAAGCAACAAACCTGATATGGTTTGACCTGTACAAGCAATAAACCTGATCTGTTATGGACATACTGTAGGAAGATATTTTCTTTTCAAGGTAGATCTTTTCTCAGATCAGAGGCAGGAGGTTATGACGTGATGCTGCACTGGGCAACCAAGAAGGAAACGAAGAGCAGAGGAGCCTTTAGCCATTGCCAAAACAAGCCTTACAATGTTAAAGATGAGTAAGTGCTATTAATTTCCAGCCTTAGTGTGGAAACGCTTTAAGCCTTGTTTCCACAGATCAGTTCCTAGTTTAATGTTGTCATACCCCAACCATTATTGCCCTTCCTGAATTGCCTATAGTCAGGAGGCAAAATATCTTAGCCAGGAAAGGTGAAGCTGCTTGGGAAAGCGAGCACTTCAAATGCCACACATATCCTTTAAAATGAACACAAGCTAGGAAGAAGTTGCTTCCAAGAAAAACAAGGAATACTTGGAGTAACAGGTTAATCTGAGTTTTGAACAATGCGTAGGAGGAGGAAGCAGAGGAAAATCTGGGTATGCTCTTTGAAAGAAAACAGCGTATACTTGCTCCACATACTGCTCCAAGACAAGAGGTAAACAATTGTAGCATGGATTCAGGTCAGCTAAAGCAAAAAGGAAGACAGGGATTTTTTAACCTGGTTCTTTTTCCAATTGCATATTGATTGATGAAATTAAAATGTATATAGCAGAAGGGGAAGGTCCAGTGCAACGTTTCAGAGAACCAGAGAGCTGAGACTAGTGACAGAGTAACATTTCTGTATGCATGGTGTATGTTCTATTCTGCCATACAACAAAAATGTTAACTGCCATCAAATTCCTGAAGTCCAAAAGAGGTAATGACAAATAGAATAAAATTCAGTTCAATTAAATATACTAAACCCTACGAGTGTGGTTCATGAGCCCTTGTTTATCATATTCAGAATAAATCCATTGCATAGGTCTCTGTATGAGAGCTGAGTGTCAGAAAAGCACTGGCTAAGGAGAACTCTGCTTTGCAGGAGGCTGCAGAGTGGAAAGTCATCAATCTCTGAGCTTTGATCATTGTGTCCCTTTCAAGAGACATTAAAATACTGCGTTAAAACCTGCATTAAAAACAAAACAAATACAAACATCTAAACCCAGCATAACTCCTGCAACCATCTTCTGAGTAGTGGGGTCATGGATATATTCTGTTAGCTCAAAAATAGCATGGCCTTGTTCCAAATCTGTTCCTGCTACAGTGATGTGACCTTATCAAAGGATTTTGCTGACTCCTGGAAGATTCCTTTATTTAATATTCTGATGTACAGGTCACGGGCTGGGATCTGACTTAAGTCCTGCACCACAGCACTATTTACTTGGATAACTCAGTCACAATGTCACAAGATGGTTAGCCATGCAAAGTGTATTTCTATCATTCATAGCAAGTTCTTCTTTGCACCCTGAATCAGCAGCATTTTGCCATTGCAATATTTAAGTCTTCCTGGCATATCCAAAGGAGTTTAAGTTGATTTTAATCACTGTGAGTATTGAAAAAAAGAGAGGAACGTAATAAAAATGAGAAGAACAAATGTCCTTGCACAGGAATGATGCTTGTTGTCCCTCCAAGGCTCCTTTCAGAAACTGCCTCTCCTCCTACTTTCAGTCTCCTGAAGGTGTTTCAAAGAGATGCAATGACTTGTAAAGCTGCCATTTCAATTAAATTGTGCCAGAACTCCTGATATATATATATATATATAAATAAAAACTCTTTGCTTATTTTTTTTTGCATAAGTGGTTTTGTTTCTGTATATATGTACATAAAAGTCACCCTGAAACTATTCATTTTGATCAAAACCTACCCTATAAACCCTACAAAGGGAAAACTTAATGAAGAAAAACATGAATATTCCTCTTTGTATTATGCATAGGTCACAGAAAACTATCAGTACATTGCAGTAATATGCCAAGGAAATTAGCCAATACTTTACTTATCCAGCACATAGATATATGCATCATTCATGCTATACCTATATTGTCTTTATTCCTCTGTAACCCACTCCCCTTCACATGTCCCCTAAGCAGAGTCAAGACCCCTGCTTGCAGACCCACACAGTGAACATTCATTACATGACGAGGTTTAGAAATCACAGCAGTTTCTTGACCTTGCTCTTTTGGGTGGTAAACGCCACCCTGCAAAAGTCATGGCCTGGGTGATAGTGAGAAACTGAAAGCGCGTGGAAAGCAATAACGAACAATTAGCACATGCCTCATCTGCACTTACTTCACTACCGCAGGTAAGGAATGGGGCTACCGTGTATCTTCCTGAAATAACATGAGCAATTTCTTACTTTTTCTTGATCTGCAGAAAAACTTGATGCCCCCGGGAGAGGTAGACGGGTTAGAATTGGGGGAGGACTCTTTGGAGGAGGACCTGAAGATCCCACTGAAGCTCATGCGGCGTGGGGAGCGTGGGGGAGACTCCTGGTATGGGAAGGGGAACACTGTTTTGGGTGAGCCGGGGCTGTGCTTAGACCTCACGGGGGCAGAAACGGGGCTGGAAGGCCGGTTCTGGAGCCCTTTGGAGAAAAGGCCTTTCGAAGGGCTGCCTGTAGAGTAGCTTTCTTCCCCCTAGGAGGAGAGAAAAAGGAAAAAAAGAAACATTAGAAACACCATTAATTCAATTCACCTTGTGCCATTAGGTCTGCAGAACTTGCCTTAACACAGTCAACACTTCTTTTTCCCAGGTTATGGATCAGCCAGGTTTCTACTTCCTCAATACCTGCCTGTACCTAGATGCCCACTTCGCCCTGGATTTTACCTGAAATTTCAACATATCTTAGTATATTTTGTATTAATCAGGATTTCTTTGCTGATTTGCCACACACATCTCTCCTTTCCCTGGAAAAGCAATAGGTGATGAGCAACCTGCTCAAGGCCATGAATTATCCTCCTTAATTGCAATGCCCTGACCTCTTCCTAGTGAATTTAAGCACTCATCTATGGTGCTTAATCCTTCATTGCCCACAGATGGGACAAGACCTAAACCAGGGGGGACTTTCCAGGTCTCTACCAAGTTGGGCAGAGCCAAACAGGGATTTTACTCTGGCCCTGAAATAGAGCAGCCTTTTTACAGGGGCTCAGCTATGACCTTCCTACCTGCTGTGTCTCCTTCGGGATATGCGCTCGCTTCCCAGCTGACTGGTGTCCCTGTGCACAACACGCTGAGCAGGAAGGTGCAAAATCCCTCCCAAAAACACCTAGGAGAAGGCTACCAAGTGCTGCATTCGGCATGAGATGTGCTGAGTTTCCAGTCCTCTGCACAGCTGCTCCCTTAACCCCATCCATGCAGAGCAAACAAGGAGGCATGGGGCAGAGAACAGAGAAAACACCAACTCCACGTGCTGTGTGTTATTCCAGGTAGATAAGAGTATTGTTGCCATGGGAGTCGAAGGACACATGTAAGATAAGGTTTGTAGGCAGAAATAATGATTTTATTCCCCGTCACGCCACATGGAGCTGCCTGGCAAAAAGCAGAACCACTTTTTATACCTGTGTGTGTATTTATGACTGAGAGAAAAGAACAATCTCAGCAACATCTGTTCTTCTGCACTGGCAGGAGGGCACCCGTCACCCTCAAGGGGACATACTCAGGAGGGATCACCAATTCTAACTGAGAACTTCCATTTCATTATAGTTTTTCCTAAAGTGACTAGCCATGAAATCTGTAAAGCTAGGAGAATGGAGTTACTTTGGTGCCATCTTTAATATTTCATGCACCTTTTTGTGCATGCTTATTTAGGTACAGGAAAATACTCACAAGAGACACTTAAGAAAAAAAAACCCTATGGAAACGCACTAAACTAATCCCAGCAATGTAAAATGTCAAAGAACATTTGTCAAATAATTGCAGCATCCCCTGTAAGTACAAGCCAGGTATAAAAGCAAATTGTGTTCAAAGTCTGCACAGAAGCAGCGGGATGTTTTTATTTATTGCCATCACAACCAGTTACTTTCTTCTCCTCGTGCCAGGCAGAAGAATTAGCTGCTGGTCCGAGCACCAGGAGCTCACTGCTAAATACTCATGTGCTTGCTACAAGATGACAAATATCCATGATTTTACTTGGGTATTGAAGAAGTATTTCCTTTATACAGTATTATTTGAGGTTGCAAGTTTTAAAAAACGATGAGGTGCCTCTCTGACTGAAAACAGCAGCAACAGTTAAGTGATCACAGCGTATATAGAAGACAATAGGAAGGCAATGTGAATATGAATGCATATATAAATATGAATATGAATGTGGTATGAATTTTCCTGCCTCAGCGGGGAATGCAGAAGAGTCCCTGCTGCATTATGAACTGCACAACATTATGCAGAAGCAATAAAATGACTCCAGTAGTGGAGCTGGAAGAAGATCATAAAGCTGGATGGATCATCAACTGCTCTTCATTCCTTTTGACTTTACTTCCTTAATTTATTACTGGCAGGTGGGCACAAAATTCCCATGTGTGCTCTTGAAACACAACTATTTTCCCAGCTGTGTTGTTGAGGCCGAAGTATCACAGTCCAGTTTCCCACACTACTGACCCCCTCATATCTTCTTGAGCTGGTGCAGGAAAACCAGCATGGTGAGAATAAGCAGACATAGGAAACACATCTAATAAATCCTGAGTGGATAATAAGGCTGTCGGAGATAAGGAATCCAAACAAACAATAAAAGTACAAAGATATCAACGCACAAATCAAGTCTAATCAAACAAATTGAAAATTACCCCAAGTACTATGACATTTCACCTTATAAATAAAAACCTCACACAAGCTCACACCTAGAAAACATCCCTGGTGCTGGCTGTGTAGACATTTGAGCTCTAAGCATGGGTTCCCTCAACCTTATAACTGCTTATGCTGTAAAGGTGGAAAACTCAGCCCTAAACATATGTGTATAGACAATACTGCCTGAAATAGCCCTAAATTAGCATATAGGTAAGGGAAGAGTATGAAGATGCAAGTGCAACCTATGCTCAATCTAATGCAATTTCCTTCCCTGTAAGGTTAAGTGACCAGGTTGAGATGAGGTCTCTGGAAAGTTTCAACACAGGAAACAGCGTCCTCAAAGTTGTCTTTTCCCACTTCACCTGGATGCAGGAATAACATAGCACAAGCCAGCGACAGCCCCAATTACATGTGGCCACCTTGCTCCAGTGGGCGCATGAGTCTTGCTGTATGACAGGAGCCAAAGCCCTTTGCTCCAGGGCCAAAAGAATGGTTCCTGACCTGTTTTATTTACTGCTATAGACATATTCTGAGCGAACAAATGCTATGTATCTTATGCTATTAAGACTCCACAATTCTCAAGGTCATCAAGAGCTTCCTGTAGAAGATCCTTCCCTATGTCAGCCCTTAGAGGGGCTCAGGTACATGCTGGGAGAGATGGCAGAAAACTTCTGTCTGCATCATTAACAAATTTCATTAGCAGCCTTCTGGTTTTTATCTGAGCTGCAGTGGCCACAACCAGCCCTAGGAGGGAGCCTGGGGAAACTACACTAGTGCCCTGCGTTGTGCTCCAGGCTGCAGATGTCCTTCCATAGACACAATGTCTTCCTGGGAGGATGCCCCTGTTTCCCACTTCAGGAACCTCAGAGCACTTCCCTGGATCCCTCACAGAATCACAGTGTGGCTGAGGGTAGAAGGGACCTCTGGAGATCACCTAGTCCAAGCCCCCTGCACAAGCAGGATCACCTCAAGCACGTTGCACAGGATCAGCTTCCACTCATTCTTCCCTCCCCACATGTACCTCCAGCTGTTTGGCTCCCACCAGAATTACCTTTCCATGTACCATTGGATTCACAGTGCTCTGTATTCCTGAAAAATCTCTGTCTCCAATTCAGCTTCTTGTGGATTCGTATTCACCTTCAGAATGGTTTGGAAAAACTGCCTTGAATAGGGAGCAGCTCCAACTTAGCAACCTTTCAAAAACCTTTCAAAATTTAAGTTCAAGTTGTGAAAGGCTCCTGAATTCTCCTCCTTTTCTTTTTCTCTAATTTTGAATAGTTAGGATATTGATGGAACAGTTGAGGCTTGTTTTGCTTTTATAACAGGGAGTTATTTGACCTTTATTATGTCTTCCACTTAAAAAAAAAAAAATTACAGAAAAAGAATAGCCTCCCACTACCCTTGACAGAGACAGTAAACACAATTAGAGACAATACACCAGATAGAAGTCTGCACTTATTTCCTGCCCTTCCACTGAATCTCAATAAAAACGCTCTTTGATAAACTTAATTGGATGATTCTCTCATTCTGGGGGAATAAAAGAGCTCATAGAGTCATAGGAGCTGCCTTGATTAGGCTGAAGGATAATGAAGGACGCCCTCTCCCTGGCGCCCTGTGGTTGCATTCGCCACCGTTAGCATTCTTTGTCCCACATGAGCAATAACAACGGAGGTGACAAAGTGTCTTGCAGGATCAGAGATCCTCAAGATCCTCAAATTAAAATGCAATGATGCTTCCCCAAATGAAAGCACAACGGGATGAGGCTAGCTGATGTGGGAGGCTGTCAGGCAGCCCCACACTGAAAGAAATGGAAAATTGAAATGCTGGGAAAAATAAACCAGAGGGAGATTTATTCAGTTAGTCAGTGACAGGGGACCTAAAAACTAGAGAACTGTTGGTTCTCCTCACTGTTCCAAGGGTTCCTTGTGCAGTTTCCATTTATGAGTCACTGGGCAAAGAAGAAAAAACAATGCTGGGATCAGAACCAGTCCTTCAGCATGAGAGCTGCTTCTCAGTTCTTTCTTTGATCCCAGTTCATCAACATTTTCCTTATTTATTGACAGCAGAACTGCAAGGCAGTGCCAAATACACTAGTAACACAGCCTACTTCTTGCCCTCTTGCTTCAATTATACATCCAAAAAAAACGGTCCTTTAGCCACAGTATCATATCCCAATTCCATGTAGACTTGAATCTACCATTACTCTCAAAATCTAATCAAAGCCTTGAGAGACTTACCAGAAGTAAAGTCAAATTTGTTCCCAGGTGTAACTCATCCCAATTTGGCCCAACAGAAATGGGCCCTGCTCGCTTGCAAAATGAGTTTTAAGTGATTCAGGTCATGCTGCACCGGAGAGTTTCCTGTTTATTACTTACCACTTTCTTCCACCCATTTCTTTATAAACCATAAGAGTTACCAGTGATGAGTCTGTATTTCTTTCAAATCACTCATAAAGCGCTATGTAATACAGCAACAGAATGTTTTGTCTGCCAAGAAACAAAATTTCTCTCCAGTCCCAATTTACTTTATCTGTTCAGTTTTTATCCACTTTAAATAGACTCCATGTCTTTTATTATCATTCTCATTTCTTAAATCAAAGCCTCCTGCAGTAGGAAAATCAACAGATTTTATATGCATGTGATATCAGTCCTAGCACATTTTTTCACCCAAATTTATAATTTCATTTAAAAAAAAAAATGTGTTTAATAAGGACCCTTTGTCATTAACTCCAATGAAAATGAGTCTATTGTAACACAGTCATTAATTACCCAAGATTAGATATTTCATTGTTTTACCTAGGACTAAGGTTAGACTGGCAAATCTGCAGATTTTCATAAGTGCAGAGGAGTAAATTTTCATAACTGGGAGCATTTTGAACGTTAACAAAATAGTAACTTTTTTATAGTCTTTTTAAAATCATTTTATAATCTTTACTCCTGCTCCCAATTTTATTCACAATCCCCACCAATCTGTCAGAGAAAATCCTGCCAGTTATTTCAAAACCCTTTTATCTGAGTTACTTGTATCTCATTTAAAAATTTCTAGCTTTAGCACCTCTAGTTCTGAAAATACTTAAATCATTGCTAGGACAGAGTCACCATCGTCATCCAGGACAAACATCTCACCCCACACAAAGAAAAGAACTTGCAATGAACACTTATTTTCTAAACTTTATTTTCTATTTTATGGTAGTTCTATTATTTCCATGAAGGATGGATCAATATAGCTCTTCAAACGTCTTTTCTTCTTCCTACCCTCTGCTCCCTACATATTTTGCAAGTTGTCAGCAGATGGACAATCTTTTTTTCATGCCACTTTTTTCTAAACCAATTTGCAATCCCAGGCTTTCAACCAAAAGCAATGACTATTGGTTTCCCGCCATTTCCACATCTGATCCTGCAATGTACACTCGAGACGAAGGACCTGTAAGCATTCAAGGTGTTAATATCTCTAAAACCAACACTGCTGTTTTGGTGCAGAGGGGCACTCATCGCTGACCGCTACCCTGCCACACCAGGCTTGCCTCCTGTTTCCTTCTTCCTTATCGTTTGTGATTTCCCAGGTCTCTGCAAGGCCCCTTTTCCACCATCTTCTTCCCAGACTGAGTTCTAGGACATTCAGCTACTTCTCAGCTTCTGGTTATCCTTATCTGTACTACTGTGTTCAGTTATCCTCTAAGGTCCTTCTAAGAAGGCTTCAAGTCATTTAAGGACAATCCTAGGTAGAAGCACTGACCAATCAACAATACCAGTTACTTTGGAGGAAACCACCAGTATTAATGTACACAGTCAGGATACAGGACAACACGGAATATCTACCACAGGCGTAAGAGCTACAAGAGCTACCCTTATGCATCACATCATGCCAAAACTTTCCATAGAAGAGTCCTTCAGAGTAGTGTTTTTTACTCTCTACTTTGAAAAGAGAAAGGGGAAACCTGAGGGAAGACCTGAAGGGGAAACCTATTCCCTCCCAGGCATTAGGTCATAAAAGAAGGAAGAATACATTGCTCTCTACTCATAATAACAACTATGTTAGAGGTAAGTGATTAAGCTGCCGCACTACCACATCCCTGGCAAAAATATCCTGTCTGAACCCGAGCAAATAATTTTCTGCACTTCAGTTCCCTAGTTGTACAGGAAGGTTTATTGTCATAGGATAATGATGACAGGCATTTCATGGTTGAGTGATGAGAATTTTTGTGGAAAATGTTAATATGGTTTCTAAAAGCCAGTCACAAAGTCCAGCCAAATTAAATTAATGGCAGCTCAGAAAGACAGCCTGAGAACTGCTCTCCTCTGCCTTGATCTATAGCCCAGGCAACAGAGAAGTTAAGTGCAAGGAGAGAGACATCCTTGATTAATTGCTACTCCCCAATAAAAAAGTGAACAGAAAAATGAAATATTGACTTTTTTAATGCACAGAAGTTACACATTAGATTGTGATTTCAAACTTGAATAGAGGACAACTATTTGACTAGAAAGTGAACAGTAACTCAGGCACTTCTGCTGTAGCCTCACAAGGGTTGGGAAAACTTTTATTTCACTCCTATTGAGGAGAAAAGTGATGCCTAGCATGAGATGCATGGACATGGATTTTATTGGATGATCTTATTAGAAGTTGGACTTAGTCGACTGTTTTCTTACCCCTTTTTTGTTCAACAGGGATCTAAGTACAAAGTTAGAAAGTTATAAAAAATAATGATCTCACACGCTCAGTCATTGAAGTATAACAAAATGTCAAGCTCCACTCTGGCTATTCCAAAGTCAATCTCACTTCTATTAGGAAAATTTTAACTAAGTTTAAGAAGAAGAATAGTATGAAACTGCAAAAAGAAGTGACTATTGAACAGCTATTTTAGTTTCCTCCAAGACAACATTCATCAAAAGAGAACCACAGGACCACTAGGAGAAAAAAACAGGGACATCATAAATGCTAATAGGGAGCTTTTAAGAGACATCATATACTACAGCACATAAGCAAGAAAAGTTTTAGAACATTTTTTCAGAACTGAGACTCATGTAGCTTTCTCACCATTCTTTGAAAATAGCGACTGGTAAATGGAGAAATCAGGTTTTAGCTAGAAACACCATCCCTCTTCTGGCATGACAACCCTTTCCAAAATGTCATACTGTTGACTTTATTCAAAAACATGAAACAAGTGTTTTTGTGCATCTCCTTTACTTTCCTGGCATCTACATGATTCCCTTTGTGTCCATCACGGACTCCTACCTCACGCAGGTCCAATGCAGAAAAGCACAAGGCCAATGTTACACTCAACTACTCATGGATCACAGAAGATTTCTAAACAATTGTCCCATCTGTGAGGTGCACAGGAATAGAAACTTGTGCTGTCAAGAGAGCTAAATTATTAGTGTTCTAGATGCCGATTAGCTTCACTAAGGAGATATTTATTGCTTCATCTGCCTTGAACTACAACTGCTGACACTGTGACAAATAGCCTGTAGCTGGTTTAATCTTAACAGAGGTCCCATAACCTTGTCGCAAGTCCAGCTGGTGTGTAGCTACAGATCAGTTTTCTGAGTAGTCACTCCCTCCACAAGCCTACAACTTGGTTGGTAAGAGCTTTACCTTTAGCTGACCAGCTTGTATTTCAAAGCTCTATGAAACCTGTGAGGCCAAGGCCAAGACATGAACTTCAAAGAGCCCACCTACAATTCCTTATACTGTGAAAACATGTAGGTGCTGTCTAACAATTTCTAAGATTATCCATTGAATATGTTTCCCTGGTTGCTTTAAAGCAAGGAAACTCTGAATGTATTGATTTAATTTAATAGCAGGCTTTTGGAAAACAAGGCGTAGCAATGTCCATATCCAGCAGGATAACCTTGAATTAATCTCATAACCCAAAGGGGCACCTTCCCATCTCATTTAGTGCTTTGGCTTCAGCAAATGATCCCAAATCATTTCACCAGAGCCAAGGATGGATAGATCAGGATGAAGGAGAGTGAACAGTTAAACAAATCCCATCCAGTCAGAGAGCAGTAATTCAAGGAAAACCATCCAGCAGCCACAGACGCCTATTTAGGAACTCTGTTGCTGTAGCAACACCACAAATTTTGGTAGCTTACCATATCCCTAAGAATATGGTTGTGCAATATCACTTCATTGAATTACAGCAGTGTTACACATAACATCTGCAGTAGTTAAAGCAATGTCTCCACAGCCACTACCATGCTTTAAAGGCTACACTGTCTAAGCACAGTCATGGTAAAGTCTTCTGCCAAGTCACTACCTTTGCCCTGGGGTAACTCTTCAAAGAGGTTATAGGTAAAACAGGTAAAATTAAAACTTGATTTTTTTGTAGTAATAAATTGTGCTCATTACGCAGGGACTCACACACTCCAGTAAGGATGAAGCTTAGAAAATACACTACCTTGCGAGCAGCATTTTTGTCCGTGCTCTCTACATCACCATCCAAGAAGGGCATGGCAAACGAGCTGAGATCCTGTCAGGAGAGAGAGCAAAAATTGATAACTTGTATGAATGTCTTGAATCAATTCTTCTTTCCACAGATATTCCCATAAGTCAAGTCCTCTGTTTTAGTTCTGAAATGCTCACTGGTTTATCCATATCCATTTACTGGTGAGTAACAATTTGGGCCCTAATGGTTCCCCTTGCCTTGGAGATCAATGTGACAAGTTAACAGAGAGTCCTGAGCAGGACTCGCCCAGCATGACCTTGCAAAAGGCACTCAGGCTTTGGACAGCCAGTGTGGGTCATGGGCTAAAACTCTCAAAGGGAGTTACCACAGAAAAAGTCACAAGAAATTACAGTCTAAATATAGCCACTTGCTCAGCAAATGGCATATCTTGCCTTTAGTGGGGAGTGCAACCTTATTTTAAAGAGTACTTATGGCAATAAACAAAACTCAAGTGAGGGTATTGCAATGTTGTGAAAATATGTAACAGATATTCAAAGCAAAGCAAAGCAAAGAAGGAGAAGACAGAAAAGGCAGAGGGAAAATAATCAATTCATTTTCACAACTTAGAGAGACTCACATAATTGTGTGGGACTAAAGAAAATAGAACCATAAGACAAGGACACATGCTCATCTTCCACAAAAACAAATGGCAATTATATTCCACCTCCTGCTGTCTGTCCTGTTTACGCTATTTTGTGTTCCACCCCTGGGACTTTGAGAGAGACATAATGAAATTTTCTTTGCAAACATCGAGTTTAGCAGCATTTTGATCAAAAAAGCAGATACTGAGTGAAGACCAAGACAACCAAAAGCACCTGATAACAGGTGCCAAGGATCGCCAAACTTCTCCTTAACGTAGAATCTCTTTGATGCAAGGCATCACCCTTTAAATGCAGTGATTTAGTCTTTCACTAACACAACACCTGCATCCCATTTAAAATTGCTACAACATAAATAAATAGCAATTTCACACTGGTTTAAATTGAGATTAAATAGAGTTTAATTAAAAATTACCACTGGGTGAGAAGTTTGCACAGCTTGCTTACCAAAGGACTTCAGAATTCAGAACGGCACAGGTCTAATCACATCACATTGTGTAATCATACTAAATCCAAATATGCTTAAAAATGTGTATAACTCAGGCATAATCCTTACAAGTGTTTGAAAATATTCTGGTTATATAATGAACAACAAAAATATGGAACAAAATATTGAATTACTGGAACTGAAGCACATGGGAGTAATTCATGCCAAGTTAAAAGAAAAGCAAAGCAGCGGCTACACTTGGCCAAACTGGCCCTGAGTCGCTAGGCCATAAACCAAAGTATTCATCACAAATTATTATGCTTCAAGCTCCATCTATACAAGTTCAATGGGAAGTCTTTACAAAGCATCAAACTACAAAGTACCAGCAGAACCCTATAAAACGTCACCCTCATTAGAGTGTTTTGACATATGTGTTTCACACTGCAGTCATTTGCAAATGCAAAGCTAAAAAAGTGTCTCAAAGCCAAAGGAAGAGTCATTTTGTTTGACTTCTTGAAGTTTCACTGTTATCAAGGTTTGAGAGAGGCTGACCCAGGCACCACAGGGTCTTAAATAAAAGCTTGTGTATCAGTTGGCTTACTCTTCCATTTGGTAGAGACCAGAGATGACTTACTCCATACAAAAGCCATCTGTCTATAAACAGCATTTATAAACATTGTTAATAAGTATATTACTATATTACTACTTCATCTGTTACTACAAGACTTAAGTGATGAATCTCCGTGAAGAATTTTAAGAGCCCCTAATGGAGAGAAGAATTTTAAGAGCCCCTAATATTTACTTTAATTTTGCCATGGGATTTACCAATACTTTCTTCTACCCATCTTTGGTAGTGAAGAAGACAAAATCTCACGTGTGCTATATCCTTTTCCATGGAATAAATTAAGGGAATAACTCTTTTGAGCCCCACATATTAATGTTCCTATGCTACTACTTTTTGTAATTCACATGCTGTTCAGAGGGGCTGGAGGCTGAAGAAACAGGATTTAAGTGGGCACTTATATATAAGCCTCAGGCTTGAATAAGCAAATTAGGAAATCTGGAAAATCTGGGAAAGGAACAATAGCTTCTCTTTTGAGCAGAAACCTTCAAAACTAGAAAGTGGTAGGTATAACTATTTCCTTGGGACCTAAACTTCAGTTGCCAGTTACAATCTCAAGCTTAAAAATATATGAATATTGTATTGTAATGATTAAAAGTACCCTGAAACCCACTTGATATTTTTCTTTTCTGATTTGTACATCTCAAATATCATGAAAGTACACTTATTTTTTTTTCTGTGTTCAAATGCAGAACAGTAGACCTCTAGTTCTAAACAGAAATAGCTGGAGCTCTACTGGAACCTCTCTGCATGAGACCTTTCTTTGCTAACACTGTGCTAGAGAATACTTCAAACAGGCAGATAAGTGAGCCTCCAGTTTTGTGAAAGAGTCTCCAGCTGAGGCTACTGCCTGCCAATTTTTCCATCTTTCACTCCCTCATAGGATTCTAGCTGTAGTGAGATACATTTACAGAAGGAAAAAAGAAAAAAAAAAAAAAAGACATATTTCAAGGGCCAGGCTGCAAACACTACTCTCAAATCTGACCAATTTGTTAAGCAAGGAAAAGTTAGATACTTCTTTCCTCTTTGCATGTAGTTCTGCAGAATATAAAACAGAAACTTGTTTCTTCTTCCTGTTCTTTTTCATCCAGAAGCATATATGACTATATGATGAGCACATGGTTAATGTATCTCTTTTTTCTATAGATAAAAAAATAGTATCTCTTAAAAAATGATAAGAACTGATTCAAAGGTATTGTAAAACATCAGCAGTACATCTTGATTGGTGGTCTGGCTGCTCTGATCTTATGCCAACTGATAAAAGAACAAATGGCACCCCTCCTGTATCTGTCAGTTTTAGCATTACATCCTCTGCTAGAAATCTGTAGAGACCAATGACTGTGGTAACCCCGCATAACTAAGAAAGACAGGCAGAGAACACAGCTCATAGGGATGCTAATTTGGATTTAAGACTATGCCAAGTTTATTTTGAAAGGTTTTTGTTAGTTTTTCTATTATGTTCCTGTTCCTCTCCCTCCACTCTGACAGAAAATCCTCCAAACAGTGAAAAACGTAATCGCAGTTGCCTCATTGGAAAATATTCTAAGAGGCAGGGCAAGTAAAAGATAAACCACCATACACGGTACTTCTCCATTGGAAGGGCTGTACATAAGGTACGTGCTAACTGAACTGAAACATTTAGAGAAAAAAGGATTTTTTTCTTCCAAAAAGGTGAAATTTAGACTCTCAATTCTGAAAACTGCCTTCTGTGATATTTCAAATGTAGTGTTTCTTCTTCAGAGAGAGCTGCTGATATCTCATTTGCTCATGGCTGAAGGAAGAAGGGAATCTCTGAGATCCATTTTTTTTTTCAGCTGAGCTCAACTCTAATGCCAAGTAAGATATAAGATCACTTTATATTAAAGTGATGCAGTGCTGTGATTTTCCCTCTCATTTTTATGACAATGGCAATCTCAGGCAGCCCTTCACGTTACTCAGTGTTTTCTACCAGCCAGATATCACTTCTCTCATCCTCAACTAGAAGAAAAAGACTTCTTGTACAGTTCAGATTTACTTTACAGCCATAGGGCCACTTCAAATTTATTTCATTCCTAATTGAAGTTGTCACAGTAGCTTGTGTTATATTCACTGAAGGATATGGCTGCTGGGATATCAGAGGCAGAGCTGCCTTTTCCAGAGGACTGGCAGAGCTCTTGCAGAGCGGAGCTGTAGCCCTGTGCTCCTGCTATCGGCTGGTGTCTCACTGAGAGAGAAACAACCCACAACTGCTACTAAACAGCTGACTTTCCACGACATTTTTTCTTGTTAGAACAAGAGACAACAGTCACAGAGTTTTATGCCTGGCTCCAGCAGAGACATGGAAGCAGCAGACAGACACAAAAAAGCTTATAAACTATTTTTTTTTTATTAGCCTCGACTGCTGTTTTATTTTTTCCAGTAGATAAATCAGCATAATTCTGTCTGCCAGTGTGCTTACCTTTTCTTCTTCTTCTTTTACACTTTCCTCTGGGAAAGGGTTGGACACTTGGAAAGTTACTGATTCTTCACACTACTCCTGAAAAGAACTTCAAAATATTTCACCTCCAAAGACGAGACTAATTTGAAGGTGTTTATTCTGTGGAAGACTCCTAAAGGAGAGGTCTTTGCTCCCAAAGAAATGAACATGTCATCTCATTCCTTCTCAACCCTTCTCTTATTCCTTTCATGGGTCTTATACCAAAATTCTTAGAGCTACTTAAAAGAAAGAAAAATAAAAGTTTGGTTCTTTGATTTCTTAGAAAAACAACGGCACATAAATATCCCTTTTGCAGAGCTGTTTTGGAGAGTAGAAAGGAAAGACTGTATTTTAGGATACAGACAGCTGGTGCAGCATAGCCAAATGGCAAGAGGAACAAGATCTGGTTGGCCAAGTCAGTCTTCACCTTTTCCAGAGAGTTTCCCTTCTCCTTTCCGTGCTAGTGAGGGCTCCTGCCAGAAAGGCTGGGCAGATGTGGGCCTTCTCCTATACTTGATGTGCTGCATTGAACCTTCCAAGAAAGCTTAAGAAAAAGCCACTACTGGTCTGCAAATGCAAGAAGAACTTATATTCAATCACTTTTTTTTTTTTTCCACAGTCATGTTACTTAGAAAGGATGGTGACTTTAAGATAAAATAATATGTAATTATGTAAAATAATATGTAGAAAATAATATGCAAAAAGGCCTTCAGCTCAACAAAAGAAGCCACAGGATCTCTGCATGAAGACTTGTGTCTAACACAATAGAGGCTTGATGATTTTATGAAGACATCTCTAGTGTTTCTGTTCAAGAGATTACAGTACATATATATGACTTTCAAGAGTGTAAATAACACACTCTTGTAACTGTCCTATGCTAAAAGTTGTATGGATAAAAATATACTAACATTTTTTAAAGGT